TATAAGGCTTTACAGCATTTCTTCTTAGCCTTAACCTTTGTCTGTACCTCCTCCTTCCACCACCAAGATTCCTTTTGGTGTGGAGCAAAGCCCTTGGACTATCCTAATGCCCCTTTTGCTACTTTTCGAATACTACTAGCCATGAAATCCCACATTTGGCTAGCTTCCCCCTCTCTATCCCAAACGCATTCGGTGATTACTTTCTCTTTGAAAATGGCTTGTCTTTCTCCTTTTAGATTCCACCATCTAGTCCTTGCGCACTTCAAGTCTTGTTCTTTTTTCTCTCTCTTTGGATATGTACATCCATCGCCAACAAACAACGTTGATTAGCCAACTCTCGAGCTAACTTTAATAAATAAATAAGAATATATTAAAGAGGAATAGTGGGAGAAAATTCAAAAATTAGGAAAAATATAAAAGCTTGAGGCAATGATGGGTGGCGTAAGTAAATGGGTTGAAACAAAAGCCTTAAGTTCCTAAGGCATAGTCCATCTTGATTCTTTCGTGACCTTCTTGTAGTAATACCTGCAACATTTGGATGTAGGATGAAGTAAGCAAGTGCAACTGTGAACCCGCATTGATGAAATTTTCTCAAAGAAAAAAAAAATCAATTCACTCACTTTCTTCCGTCAATGACTGCCGTAAGAACTCATGAAGGACAAACCGAAAGCTTCCTCATAACTGTAGGGTTACATCAAGGCTCATCTTTAAGGCCTTACATTTTTGCATTGGTAATGGATGAGTTAACGGGACATATTCAAGATGATATTCTTTGGTGCATGCTTTTCGCAGACGATATAATGTTGATAGATGAAACTCAAGAATGAGTTAATGTGAAGCTTAACCTTTGGAGAGAAGTTTTGGAATCTAAAGATCTTCGCCTAAGTCGGTCAAAGACGATATATGGAGTGCAAGTTCAGTGTAAACAAAGGCTCAAATGAGTTAGGGGATAAGAATTAGAGATTTGACGTGTTGTGTGACTCCTCTCTCTCTCTCTCTCTCTCTCTCTCTCTCTCTCTCTCTCTCTCTCTCTCTCTCTCTCTCTCTCTCTCTCTCTCTCTCTCTCTCTCTCTCTCTCTCTCTCTCTCTCTCTCTCACACACACACACACACATATCCATATTGAAGAAGACATTAATAAGCACATGTCAGTTCGAAAATCTTATGATTGTCAAGTCTTAAATAGTTCTAGTCCATCCTAGTATAAAGGCACGAAGAAAAAGTTACTTTAAGGTCAACAATAGATGAATTTCACCTGAAACTGTCTAATATACCCATCATTCCCTCCACTGACATAGAACTATCAGCTAATACAAATTTTAAAAATAGTGCGGGGGAATTTGACTGATGGGCTTGGCTACGGAAAATTTTTAGGTGTACCGGGTACATCAAATTTTTTTGGTGTACCCTCACTCATTAGAAATTTTTTTGGTGTACAAAAAGTGAGGGTGCACCAAATTTTTTTGGTGTACCCTCACCATTATGAGTGAGGGTACACTAAAAAAATTTGGTGTGCCGGGTACACCGAAAAATTACTCCTTGGCTACGGGTTGATATTCATTTTACTAATATTATCAAAATGAAATTTTAAGCTTTTAAATAATAAAATAAATCTATTAACTTTATATCAATTAATGGATATTTAAATAAGTTTTAAATGTAAACAAACAGAATGGACAAATTGACAACACAGTGACCAAAAAGGTATATAACCATTACCAACTTGCAACATCAACTTATGCAAAAGCCCTTCTAATACTGGATCCCAATGATAAAAGTCGCCAAAGCTATTGAAATAATCAGCCATAACAACCTTCTTATCCTCTATGGTAATAAAGATTACACTTACGACTTGAAGGACAAACCCCAAACGATATGAGGCCAAACCCTTCAAACTACACGGAAGATAAATTTTTTTAAATTCAAATAAGATATTTTTTATACTATTTGAAGGGATGAGTCTAAGCGAGAACTTTGAATCTGAAAACACGACATATGTATGTATAAAAGAAAGATTATGCTGATGCAAGTTATGGGGTCATTTTTCCGAGTTCCTCAGTGTAAATGTGAAAAATGATAAGTATACATTAAAAATAAAACATATGACAGATCACACAAATATTATTGTAAAATCAAGTAATACAAATGGCAGAATTTACTAACATTCAAGATATATAGTAGGTAGAGCAAGCAGCAAAGACCCAAAGCATATCCTACCTCTCAATAGATTGGCACGGCATGTACCTGTAAGCATCTTCAAAGCTATGGAAATCGCCCAATGCATAAATGGATGAAGAGTAAATTGAAAAAAAAAAAAAAAAAATCTCTTTAAAAGGAATTGAAATCACCATTAACACTGTTTCTAGGACTAATGCAAATGGAAAACAACAGAAAACAAAACTCATAATACCTTGGATGTCCTTACCAAATGAAAATACCTTCAAAGTACATCAAACACTAAATGATTAAGAATAATATTAGCAATATGACAAGAAGTAAACATGTGAGTCATTTACCATAACATGTATACCGAACATAAAAGATTAGGTAAGACAATTACCATGAACTTAACGAAAGTTATGAGATAATGATTATGGAGAGATTCATTTTGTCTTCTCTTTTGAATTCACTAACTGTTAGTGGCCTAAAATTCTTAATCTTGTCAAGTAATTCCAAACCAAAAAGCATTCTGTACATACTAAATATTTTTGTGCAAAAGATGTAGGATTTTCCAGCTATCAACCAAAAATAAACGAAAAGAACAATGGTTCCAATACCAAAGTAACACTTGCTTTTTTTTTTTTTAACTCTTGGGATATAAGACATTGGCCTGCATCCTATGAGCTTAAACTTTAGGGAATAGTGGTTGATACGAAAGCATGAGATCACCTCCCTGGTAAGAGAGGGAGGGAGGGAGGGAGGGAAAGAGGAAAGAGGAAGTGGGGAGAGAGAAGGGGAGGGGGGGGGGGGGTGGTGTCGGGGTGGGGGGTGCGGCAGTGTTTGGTCAATATAAAAGAAAAACACCCTAACAGAATAAACTTATGGGAGTAGTGGCGACCAGCAGAATTTTGGGAACTTAGCACCATAGTTGATCCAATTAAAAAATTAAGTCGCAAAAAATGAATTATCTCAACGAGTCAATTTAAGCATAAAAGCTAATAACTAATGGTCCAACCAGGCACTCGATAATGGTACCCTTGCAATGAAATTACAAAATCGTGGGTGCCTGCTTGAGCGAAACTCCAGTCATGAGCTAAAGTTTCACCAGACTTCATAAAAATTAGCATTCAGCGTAACATGGCATAAAAAATGAGGGACATTTCACTAAGAATTAACTTGATTAATCAAACCAAGTAAGAATAGCACCAATAAGAAAAACAGACAAGCTCACAATTCCACGGATATCAAAACTGTTGAATTATATCACTAACAAAGGGACACCAGGAAAAGCTAGTTGCATGACCCACCTCCATTGGTGTCATCAATCCAAAAGGCTTCTCCCAAGTAGATAATGCTGTCCTCCAGTAATAAAATCTGAATAGTTAATACAGCAAAGAATATATTCAATTAGCAAGAGTGACCCTTCCAAGGTACATATTATCAGCCAGGAAATCACTAAAGAACAACATTCTAACAAATCAAAGAGTAAGAAACAAATATCTGGAAAATAAGAATAATTACCTTCTTCCATCAGCAGATGTATGCTCTCTCCACTCTGCTGCAGTCACTCCCGCAGGGGGAGGTCGAACACTTGCTTCCTGAATTTTTAAAGGATAATGAACTTTAGCAAGAAATAAGCATAGACGACTGAGAAGCATTACAACTAGGCTTTAAGTTGTAGAAAGAGGCTTCTTACTAGAGCAATGGAGGTGGTTACAGCAGGCCGTGCACCGGCTTGCCGCAGAGGCATAATTTGTCCCTTGCATGAAACATTGGTAGCATGCGATTGAGATACAGACTGATACTGGGAGGAGTCATTGAAGTTTCTTGGTATTTGACCATAAGAAGAAGTTGCAAACTGCACAAGTGTGAGATACAAATTCAAGGCCTAAAGAAATTTCAAGTAAACCAAAAGGTCAACCAAGAACAATCCTGAAACTCACAGTATATGACGAAGAGAGAGCTGCTTGTGGGCCACCTAAGTAAGGCATGACGTTATTTGGAGCTTGTGAATTAGGATGAGGTGGAGGCAACTCAGATGCAAGGTACCGTTCCTGTTAGGCTGAGAAACTGGCAATGGAATTGCCTGTGATTGCATCATACCATGACCTGGCTGACCAGATCTTGGAGGTAACTGCTGCATTGGTTGTGAAAACTGGGGTTGGTGAGTTGGAGGAGGCAGTCTAACATTCATCAATGGAGCACCCCTGCCAGCATGCTGAAAATTTTGAGAAGCCACAGGATGAACTCCTGCGAATGTGGTGCTGGAACTACTGGGCGGAACTGCAGCATAAAATTAAATTGATAGTGATTATTTTAATGAAATCAATAATAAGTGTACGTGTGGCACAAAAATTTGTCAAGAAGAAATGTGTTACTTGAAAAGACATGGGCAGCAGACTTCGAGGAGAATCAACAGCACCAACTACGATAGACCGAAGAGGCTATCCAAGGAAAAGATAAAAGAGAAGTTAGTTAAGAAAGCATAAGAAACTAATTGGACACATCTAATTTCACAATACACACACACACACACACATATATGGAATCAAATGCTTTCATCCTTTTGAAAGGTAACATGTATTTCTAAAAAGAAAATTCCAGTAAATGAAAAACAATAACGAGTAAAAAATTGTTGTGAAAGGTAAATGGGTGGTATAAATCCATAAGAATGGAAAATACTGCATCATCACCTTTTCAAATGCAAACAATCTTACATGATGCTGGAAAATAGACATTTGATAAAAAATTAACAGCCCTAAATTCTCAGAAAGTGTAATAACCAAGACGGTAAACCAAAATATTAAACATAACGGAAATTGAACTGAGTCAATTTTGCGCTAGCACCCAGCGCATTTATCCACTCAAGTGAACAGTAATAGACCACAGTCAACAGTACTAGGCCAAAGCATCTCCATCCCTAAAAAAAATAGCCTAGTCCATTTTATTAAAATATTATTATTTTTTATTATAAAATAATAATTTAATTTTTCTTCTTCACTCTGGACTCCCTGCTTCTTCTTCTCTCTGGAACCCAACCCACACTGCGAAACGACGCAACCCACAGCTGAAACACCTCTCCATTTCGATTGAAGCTCCAAAGTTGAGTTACGAAGGTAAGTTTGTGGGAGTTAAGCTCGCTGGTTTTCTCGTCGCCGCCGCCGCTCTCTAAGTCTCGCTCGCCTCCTTCTCTGTCCTCCAACCGGCTCGAAAGCTTCCAGTAAGAGCAGGCAAGGATCAACAGAGCAAAAGCAATCAGACCCAACATCCCCGCCAGGCCTCCGAATAGGTAGGGCACCGGAGAGTGCCACGGCGAGCGCTGCTGCTGCTGCTGCCCCGTGGTTGTTGCAGTTGGCGGCAGTGATGATTCTAGTGGGGATTTTGCCCCCAGAGTTGCAGTAGAGAAAGCAATTACGGTTCTCATATTTATGTTTAAATTTATATATATATATATATATTTTTTAATTGGAGTTTAGGAAATTAGGAAGGTTTTGAGTCGATGAAAAGAAGGTAAGGAAATTTAAGCTGATGAAAATGGAGGTGGTGGGTTATGGTATTTATCGCAGGGGAAAAGTGTTTTCACCCAGGGAGTCGAATTCAGGTCGAGGGAGGTGTGACGCGTCATGTAGGCCGGGCAAGGGCTCAGCACATTCTGAGCCGGCCTAGAGACCAGCTTGGACTGGGTGCCAGCTTATCTGCTGGGCTGGAGTGGATTGGCTGGGTGCCAGGCCAATAATTTGGCTGGGTGCCAGGCCAATAATTTGGCTGGGTGCCGGCCTAAAGGTTCCCCGATGGAACTGCCAAATTATTGGCCTGGAGCTAAGATGCATGAAACATCATTAGGCCGGCCAAGGGCTCAGCACAATCAGATGTTTGATGCATGAAGCTAAGATGCCATGAGTGATTTAATCTATTTGGAATGCAGATAAAAAGTAACCACCTCAAAAGAAGCCGAAAGGATAATCCTTCTTACCTAAGTGGGAAGGAATTAAGATAAAGAAAAACTCGCAGTGACCATAAATAATTTTGTGTTAAAATCTAGATGGTTTATAAATTACCTGTAGACCTGAAAATTGAGGGTTATTGACCATTTCACTAAGATACAAGCATCTGAAAACAACTGCAAAGATAACAAACATCATTAGAATCTTACAGAATCACGAGAGCATGTTAGGATGGAAGGTTCAAATTTTCAAGTCCTGTAACATCAACTATCCACCTAATGGAAAAATAGATTCCACCAAACACACAGTAGTATCCGCAAAGAAAATGGAAACCTAAAACTTGTGGCATCAAGGATTGCAAGTTTAGAAACATGTTCTTAAGATGATCATAGCTAAGAAGAGATATTAAGACTAATCTAGATTTTTGAGGCAAATATGAGACAAGAAAAGGAAGGTTAAAGGTTGAGGCAGCACCAAATTATAATTTGATGGCAGGAAGTTCTCTACGACGGTTCATATGTGCAACAAAGACTTAATGAGCACTGGATCAAGGAGTGATCCAATTCAAGTTCAAGGGATCAAATGTGCAACCAAAAACAAAAATAGGGTAACCCAAAATGTTATGAAACTAATCCTAACTAGTCGAAATTATGTAACCATTTTCATCTTGCAGTTCATAAACTATATAACAATAAAATTTAGTTTTACTGCTAACTCAAAAATACAATTTTCTACTGCTTTATAAGAACAGATTTTGAAAACTCACTAAAATAGCAGGATTAAATTCTTAGAAAAGTAAAAAATACACAGATATTTCCATAAAGCAAAATGTAGGCTGTGACATGCCACCGCCCAATCCAAAACCAACCCAGAATGTCAATCCAATCAAATTAAAATCCCTAAAGTTTCAAATTTAAGAATCCAATTGACAAAAGCTGACCTAATTAATTGGATTTCCCAGCTAGGACAACTGAAGCTGGAGATACATGCAGTATATACATACATATATTGGAAAATGCATAGAAATTTTGATTCATCGGATAATATTGGAAGTTAAGCGTCATAATTACAAATAGTAAATTAAGATAAAATGGATGAAAGTGTTGGCAATATCCACGTGCCAAAAGGTTGATAGAGTTGTTATCGAATTAGTTAGTTAAATAGTTTAAGCTGCAAGCTAGTCATAATGGCTATATAAACTGTATTCTCATAGTTGTAAACATTAATTCAGTATCAATGTAATCAATTACTCTCTCTCTCTCTCTCTCTCCCCCCCCCTCTCTCCCTCTCTCTTTCTCTCTCTCTCTCTCTCTCTTTTATTCCCTTCTCTCTTTTCTTCTTCGATACATGCTCTTTCTACATTTCTGTGTTTTTTTCTGCATTTCTGTTAATATGGTATCATCGCCGGAGGTCCTTGGTGATTTTTCCATCTTCGTTCTTCCGCCGCGTAGTGTGTTGTTGCTCTGTTTGTGTGGGACGATTTGTTGTTGTTGGTTAAGGTTCTTGGTGCTCGAATCTGGGTATTTCAACAGGGAAACGATCTATGCACTCCAGCTATTTGATGGGTTGTCTCAGTGAGTATTTCTTTCTGATTAGATGAATTGCTTATTTCAAAGGCCGATTGCCATTCTTTGTTTGAAACTATGACGATTTACAAGGTTGATAGTCATTACTTGTTGATTTCTACTTGCTTATTACTCATTAAAGATCGATTGTCGGAGTATGAAATCTTCTTTGAAGGCCGACTGCCAAAGAAGTTTTGGTTCTTGATCTTGTTCTTTAGTTGTTGCGAATCTACGACAGCCAGAAGTGTGTGTAGAGTTCTTGCTATGACAAAGATTGTCGTGTGCGATCCTTGGTGGCCATCGTCTTCCACTCATGGTGGTTGTTCATGGAGGTTCTTCTTGGTGCTGAAGATTCATCCAAGCTGTGGTGTTCGAGGTCTTGAAGTTTAGTCGGCGTTATGCGTTCATCTCAGTTTTCTCGAGTTTTTTGTGTTTTCTGCACTCTATGTGTTTGTGAAAATGCTTCAAGATTATTTGCTCTGGGTTTGTTGATTTTTTGTGCGAAAGAACATAAGGTCGATGCCATCTTTTTGCAATCTTGATTTGGGATATAAGGCCAAAGCCATTATCTCTATGTAAGTTGTTTGTTTCCTCCACAAGGCCGATAGTTGGAGTGAAAAGTTTTGTCTCAGATATTGTGTGTTACTCCTTAAAGGCTGATAGCCGAAGTAACGTTCTTGAAAAAGCTTGTTTGTTGTTATTATGTGCAACTCCATTAAGGTCGATTGCCGAAGTGTAGTTCTTGTTGAAATATTGATTAGTAATTCAGGGTTGATAACATTTGAAGCAGAGAAGATACTCATTTGGTGTACCTAAACATGGGAAATTGGGTTACTTTTACTTGGCTTCATTGATTGGTCTGCTTCAATCTTAAACTGGGAAGACCCAGTTGAGATTGAGGGGGGATGTTGGCAATATTCACCTGTCGAAAGGTATGTTAGAGTTGTTATCGAATTAGTTAGTTAAATAGCTTAGGCTGCAAGCTAGTCATGATGGCTATAAACCGTATTCTCATAGTTGTAAACATTAATTCAATATCAATGTAATCAATTTCTTTCTCTCTCTTTCTCTCTCTCTCTCTCTCTCTCTCTCTCTCTCTCTTATTCCCTTCTCTCTTTTCTTCTTCGATACATGCTCTTTCTGCATTGCTGTGTTTTTCTGCATTTCTGTTAATAGAAAGCCCAGAAGCACGTGAAAACTTAAAGCCTCCGCGCGTTACTAATTTCACAACTTTTATCGAGTAAATTACAAAAAATTATCTCAACTATGGTTCAACCAAAATTTCATACCTCATGTTTTAAATATTACAATATTATGCATCAACCTATAAATTCGTTGAAATGTCATATAGCAAGAGTGGAAACCACTCATTCACCAACTGGAATAAAAATTTATTTATTTATTTATTTATTAATAAAATTAATAATTTTACTAAAAATATATTAATAAAAAATTAATAATTTGTTTGTTAAATGATGACATGATGAAGGAGAGAGACCCTGCTCCTGTCACATCCCAAATTGATAGAATATTTAACAAATGTATGACATTGCAACAAATTCATAAATTGAGATATGAGATTGTGGTTTGACCCATAAGTAAGGTAGTTTTATGTAATTTACACTATTTTATTTTATCTAAACCACATATTATAAATATTAATAGAACTTTCTTTATCAACCAAAAGAAGGGCAAAAGACTACTTAGTTTTCTATCACAACAAAAAAGTTAAGCGCAGTAACGTAATTTCACAGAACAAATTTTTACTGTTATTTGTTTAAGTATCACCAACATGTGATTTTAACATCTCTAATTTTAAAAAATAAAAAATAAACCGCTCCCTCTGTGACAACCCGTCCCTATTTTCTATATAATTTTCTCCTCAAGTGTGTAAAGTGACAATTATGCCCTGGTTGGCTAAGTGACGTGGATGTATTTACTTAGTTTTAAATTATTCACTCACTGTCGTAATTAAATTGGTCTCGAAGTCACAAGTGCGTTAGCGCGAGTTAGACTCGAATTGGAGTCGTAACAAGAAAGTTACGAATAATTAAAGTGCGCAAATGGGTAGAATTATTTCACGGGTGCATTAATTAATCAGTGTCGGAAACACTGTTTTGGATTGCGCACGTTAGAGTATGTTTTTACAAAATTCTATTGTTTTTTTTTCTTTGAAACTTTGACCTATGTCTATCTTTATCCACCAATTATTTTAGCTTATATTTCCCCTAATCCAATCAGAAAATATCTTTCTCTCTTCTGCCCAATCAGGTACTCTCTCTCCTTCTCGGACCTTCTTTTTCTTTCTTCTGTCACCCGAGCCACCATCACCACACACATACATCAAATCATCACAGATCGAACCTGCAAAGACCATCATCATGTTCATCTTGACCTCACGAACCCAGTCGTACCACCTGATTGTCGAACGACGAGTTTTGACTCGCCAACTCAGAAGCTCCGACTTGATGCACTTTGCTCCGACACTATCATAGCAAGATTACAAGGTTTTAGGACATGGGGAAGCTTCTATTCAACTCCATAGGGACCCTAGACTAATTTTGGGAAGGAGTTGACGCCAGATCACGCGAGTTCGAGAAGTTTCAGTTTTGGCCAAATCTTTCGAGGGATTTTCAAGCCAATTTCAGGTCATTTATGGATCCCCAAAGGCACAATGTTGTTTTCCTTGTCATAAGCTTCAAATCCGTATAAATTTCATGGATTTTGGTTGAGAAATGACAAAGATATAAAGGTTTGAAAATTTTCCCATAATTCGCGTAAGATTTCCTAGAAACTAGCGAACCAGATGGCGGCAGATAGCAAAGCTAACTGGAGAAGAAGGTGACTATTCTGTCAAAGTTGACAGAATATTTTGATGGCGTCATGTGATGCCATTACTATTTAACGGAATATTCCGCCTATTCCTAATGTCCGTGAAGGTTCCATTTGCACATACCGTGCACGTGCCTACGCATGGCTGCACGTAAGGCCGTGGGTTAGATAGCGCGTTCGGCCTCCAGGCAGTGAGTGGTTTTCATGTGCGGATTGGTGATTTTAAGTAGATCATTCTCGTATATTCAAACCTTCCATTTGAGCAAACCATGAGAAGTTTATCCTAGATTTTGGTTTATGTGTTATTTAATTAACTAAAAATAGT